AACAGTTTTGAATCATACATTCAACTGATAATAATGGATGTAAATAAATTTTTTTCTACAAGTCAAGCATTTTGGGGTGTTGAATTCCACACCCGCTAAGATTTGGCGTGTGGAGTGCTCAACACCCGGTATACACCTTCCGCCGGCCCTGATTGGGACCATAACTACAAATGTCTCTTCGAAATCGGATGCCATTTGAAATTTTGATCTGTTTTTCACCAGTACAAATTGAACTGATTGTTTCAGGTTGTTTATCTTATTGATTATCTGATTTCCATAAATGTAACTTTAAAGCCCATTCAATCCGTGGAATCGCATTCCTGTCCTTAAATTGCAAGCCTCCATTGAACCGAATGTGCAGCTGAACTGAACCGTTCGACCGTGCTTTTAGCCCCATTTTCGATGCATCGCTATCATTTTCAGGCAATCCGTGACGCAATCCGACAATTCTGCCGTCCGACAATCCGTTTCCAAGCAGTTAGCACTCGGGCGCATTAGCAGCAGCCCATGGCCACCCATGGCCGCCCTTCAATGCCATTTCAAATCGACAACAAAGCCCACGGCAAATGCTAAGCGTACCAGACGCGTCTCAGCAATCAGCCAGAGATCGGATTTGGACCCCATCAGATATGCAATTAATTTGGCCATCAACACACCACAAGTCGATTGCGAGCCGAAAATTCAATAATGACTTTAATTACTGTTCTAAGTAGTTGGTGTGAGGCAGCAACTACAAGAGGAAAATATATTGATTGCTTTCAATCTTTAAGCCCATCTTAAAATTTATTTTATTTTTCTTTCTTTGTTTATTGTGTTCAAGATATTTCCGCCATTTCGTTTCTGCTTAACATTTTCTGGTTGATTAAACCTTTTGAAATATTTCGCACTCATTCCTTAACGCGAAATTCCGCAGTCGCACGCAAAAGTGAAAATGCCAGAGATTCACCCAAACCCAGCAAACCCTTTTCCCTTGTGCATTATTAATTTTCTTTGATAAATCCGAATTTTTGCGGGTGACCAGGAGCGTAAAAAGTAATGATTGCAACTTCCTGCCCAAAACGGGAGCGTAAATTCCAGGCTGCAGGCATCGATAAATTAAGCTTTATGCGTGGCTAATAAAAAAAGACGTCCACCTGAGTGCGGCCCACGTATGCAAATTGTTGTGGCACTTGCACACACACATACGCACACACACAACCACAGACGAGCGCATTCAGGAATACATAAATTACATGCTTAAGCAACAAAGGGAAAATGGCAGAAAAAGTTTCATAAAAATGTATAAAAAATAAACTATTTTTCCAACGATTTGCATTGCATGAAAAGAACGCATAAAACGGAGCTAGAGGAGAGGATGGCTGGCAAGGGGTTATGGGTTTATATTGAAATAAAAATGGAAAAATGCAGGAAGGCAAATGCCGGCTGCTTCTGTGTGCGACTTTTTAGCATAAACTTGAAGATCTCGGCGACGACAGGGCGTATGCGTATTGCAAGTGGCATAAAGGTTGCCCATATCCTTGTAACTAAGGGCACTTTCCGTCCTGACTTTCTGCCAGTCAACCTTTTGGCTTTATGAGGTGAGCCGTAAAATATGAAACTCTTTTTAGCAGATGCTTTGGAAATGGAAATAGGTAACAATGAAACGTTTTGATTAAGAGTGAAGGTTGTAGGACTAAGCGCTTTTAATATGGATCTGAAGGTCATAAATCGTTTATTTAATTTAGGAAAAAGCTTTTATTGGTATGAAAATTATTCCTGCTAACTTTAATTAAGAGCTTAGATAAATGGAACCTAGTTTTAGGAACTTTTAGGCCAAAAAGGATTCATTCGCTTTTAGAGGAGCTGATGTAACCATGCAGCTTGCTTTGTCATGTGTCAAATTGCATAAGTCAGCCGTTCTGAATATCCTGTCTGTCGCTGTGAGGTGCCACATCAATCAGGCTGCAACTGCTCGAACTGGACTCGGGAATCCGAAGAAGAAGGCCCGAAAGAGCAGCTGCTGCCATTGTCTATCTGCCGTGCATTGCATTTTTCAGTAAACTTAATTAATTTTCCGGCTCAAGTCGGCACTTATAATAATAGCAATAACAATAATGGGTCATGATGAGACAGCAGCAGCAGCGGCGGCCGCTTATTGAATTGGCAGGGTCATAAATTGCATCGACCGCTTGATTTATGGCCAACAGCCATGTGCAAGGCATCCATGGTTCCGGATTCGTTGGCCAAGGTCTACTCCTAATTTGGCACTTAAATGCAGTTACGTGCGTGGGCCGTCGGCTCACGGCCTGACTTACGACTATGTCCAAGTTTTCCTCGCATCCCATTTTCCCCTTGGACTTCCCTTAGATTTTCCACACTTTACCAACCGCCGAATAGGCATATGCACACGTCCTCGCTAGCGATTCCTATCACGCGCCGCAAAATGGCGTTACGTGTTTGCCGCCTCCGATACTCCGGTGACTGGAGTCCTCCACCTCATCGCCATCTTGCAACTCCCGTGCGAATTAAGCGGATCAGTGATGGGCACATTCTGGTGGGAAAGGAGCTTAAAGTAAAAAGTAAAAGTTGTATACTATGTATACTACCGTTTATTAAGTTATACTTTTTATATATTTATTGCTTGTCGGTTTAATAACAAATAATTTGTTACATACAGATAGTTTCAATGGAATTTTAATTAGAAGAGTTGGCTTTTTAACAAAGTAGTAATTTTTTAAACCACTACGAAAACAATAAAAACCTGTGCTTTTAGTAAACTTTTAAAACTTATTAGAAAAATTGTAAAATAAAATGTAAAGTTTTTTTTCCCCAGGATAAATTATAAAACCCGTACAATGTTAAAAAGCTGCCTTCACAACGCTGGAAGGGATCCCCTTAACCGCCTCCGCTGTTGCTCCTCTTTTTCGAGCATATTCAATAATTGGCGCCTGGTTATGTGGGTTGCTATGTTGGTGTGCGGCTGTGGGTGTTGGTGTTGGTGTTCATAGTTTGACGTGCCGCCAGAAAAGGATGCTGCATTAAATTCCGCGCGTTACACATCAGCGCAGGCTCTACAAATTACTGCGAAAATTGATTCACAGCACCGCGGTGCAAAAAAAATAAACTAGAGTAAAATCATTGATAGTAATGCCTGTGCGGCTTTTTCACACGTTCATTGCAACCTTTTTTTTGGTGCCGCTGGTGTTTTTGCGGGAATTTGTGCATTTTGTGCTCGTTAAATTTAATGCAGTCACGACTTTTGTTTAGAAAATAAAAATAGAGTAAGTACCCTACTTAATATGGTCACTAAGCTTAACTGAAGGCGTGAAAATGATATTTCATTAAATATACTAGTATTATTTAAATGAAATAAAATAAACTCAGTTGCTTTAATTGTATAAATTAAATACAAATATTATAACTAAACAAGATTCTGTTCAAAATAATATGCCCTTAGCAAAGGGTAAAACCGCTATAGAACCAAATTTTTAATAATGTTCAGATTATGGTAATGTAATATAATGCTCATTTAAGCACGAAATCAATACTTTCGCAAATAATGAACAAAAATTACTATTGTTGTTGCGGGACTTAAACTATAAAGGCAGATAGGGATCGCGAAAGAAAACAGTCATGTTAAACCTCATAAACAAATTTGTATGCCGGTATACTCTGATTTTTAATTTACTCATGCAGTCCTTATTCAATTTGCTTCTAGCTAAATTTAGAATTTTTTGCCAATTCCAATTGAGCTTCGTAAGCGTTACTTGCACATTAATGAACTGCCAATTGTGCGCTGTTCACTGCTCACTACTCCTTCAATTGAGTTTTACTTTGGTTCTCGCGATTTTTTTGTTCATTCTTATTTTATCCTTTTTTGCCTTCACTCTAATTGAATTGTTCGCCGGTGCAATTTAATTTCTGCGCAAAGGCAAAAACAAAACATGCATTCTGGGGGAAAAAGGGTAAGAACGACGGTAGGGAAGTGGGAACCGGTTCGCAGACTGATTGCAAGGTCAAAGGGGGGAAAGGGGAGGAGTGGGGGCGTGGCAGGGGTATTTGCGGATGCACAAGTAACAAGTGTTTTTGGGCTGCCGGCAAAAAGGAAGCGGCAACGAAAAAAAAAAACGTGAAAGGTAACAGATGCGTGAATGGATCACCCCAACCAGATAAAACAGTGGAGTACAAAAAGTTTTTGAGTGGGGTTTTTTTTGACAATGGGTGATTATGTTGTTGTTTGTATGATTTTAAAACTTTGCAAACACGTTAATACATAAACTTTTTTAAAGGAATTAAAGTTCTGAACTAATAGTTTTGCAGTGAGTATGTATTCTAACATATGTGTGTAAAACATGATATTATCCGAACACTTAAAAATCTGAAAATACATATATAGTTATTTTGAGTATCCCCTTTAAAGTTATCTTCTGAAATTATTAAAAAAGCATTTCAAAACAAACTGCAAGAACGGTATGCATGTATGTATACATGAAGGTATGTATAATATTTTAGAATGGCCATAAATGTTTATTTTAATTAACGTAAACACTGCGATTGCTCTCCCCGTCGAAGTCGTAAGTCTTCTCACATCACAGCCACCGCCTTGCTCCCCATTCTCATGACGTTCTCGTACACCAGCTGGGAAAAATAGTAGAAAGTTGTATAAATGTTTAATGCAAAAATGTTTTAAAGATAAGAATTTGAAAAATGATATAATACTTTTGCTCTTATTACAAAGAAACAAAATAACAACAAATAACAAAATAAGATAATTTATAAATACATATAAATAAAATAGCTGGTAATTAAGATCATTAACGCCACCTATTAATCACCAAAGTGTACTAAAGATCCGAGAGAATTATTAATATGTTCTTTCACATTTTTCTTTATTGGAACTACAAATTTTTCCGTTGGTGTAAGCGAAGGGTTTAGAAAACGAAGACGATCGCATAAAAAAGAAACAGCAGTGCGAAACAAAACAAAAAAGTGAGACCCGAAAGAAGAGGCTAATTGAAGAGATCGAAGACGGAGAACGCCGGAGAACGAATGGCATCGCATCCAATCGAAATCGGATCGTTGCCGGGAAAGCAGCGCACTTAAGAAGCGGAAAAACACGAAAATATATACTCAGTGCGCACCGCCGATATCGAGCGTGAATAAACGACATTGACATTCAAGCGGGCGCGCTAATTGATCGGAAAACCAACCCCTCATCGGTCGGGTCAAGTGCCCTCAATTGGAAGTGTCAGGTGGGGCAGCATGGGGCATTTGGTGCCGCCGCTGATTCTGCTGCTGTTCATCGGTGCTCTGTGGCCGGTTTTCGCCAGAACCGATTACCAAACAGCCTGCGAGTCGCTGGAGATCAATGAGATCGAGGATCTCCGGAAGCTGCAGAACTGCACCCACGTCGAGGGTCACGTTCGATTGGCCTACTTGGACTTCGCAGCCGGAAACTACAGCGCCGATTTACTGGCCAGCAATGTCACCGAGATCAGTGACTACCTGATGGTCTATCGCTGCATTGGACTGCTCAGTCTGCAGTTGATATTTCCCCGACTGCGGATCATCCGCGGCCACAGCCTGCTCTTCGATCAGTACTCCCTGGTGGTCTACGACAACCGTAATCTCAGGGAACTCGGTTTCGTGGAGCTGCTGCGTATCCAGAAGGGCTCAATTCGCGTCGAATCGAATCCGCTGTTGTGCTTCGTGGAGACCGTGGACTGGGTGTACCTCATGGGCAACGCCACTCAGCAGCACTATTCCCTCAGGGTAAGCCAAATATTTGGTTCAGAAAAATTACAAAACAAGTCAATTATTCTAATTAACTTTATAAAGTTTCGATTTAAATGTATCCTAAAGAGATATATTTAAAATCCTATAGAAATTTCTAGGGAAGCGAATTTAATTTTTTAAATGGATATTATTAATTGATTTTCTAACATTTTTGATTTACTCTTTTATTTTTAGCACAATAGACCGCAGAGTCTATGTCCTTTGTGTGGCGGACCAAACGCGGACTTTGAATTCCTCAGCAACTCTTCTGATCATTGCTGGAACCTAAACTCCACCCAACTTCGTCCTCAGCCTCCCCGCATGAACGATTGTCCCGAGGCCTGTGGTCGTAGTGGATGCGACAATGCAGGAAAGTGCTGCGATCACAGCTGCGTGACGGGATGCTCTTTGCAGAACTGCTCTCTATGCGCAAATTACCAAGGAAAATATGGTTGTGTGAATCAGTGCATTGCCAGCTACGAAATCAACAAGAGGAAGTGCATCGGCTACAGGGAGTGCCGGGATCTGGGAAGGATTCCCTTGATTCACGGCTATCAGTGTGTGAAAAAGTGTCCCGGAAATCAGAAGGAATTCCTGGACGCCAAGGGCATGATCCACTGTCAGGTGGAGTGTAAGGGGGATTTCCATGTGAAGAGTGCAGCGGATTTGGATGTCCTGCAGGATTGTATAACCATTAATGGATCCTTAACTATCGAATTGGAAAACATAAAGGGTAAGCTCTTAAATTTACTAATAATTCGAGTATTTTTATAAATATGTTTGAATATATTGTAGAAAAAATAGTAGAAGCTTTGGAAAACGCTTTGGTTAGTGTTACTTCGATCACTGGCTATCTGAAAGTTATTAACTCTGCGCAGCTGGTGTCGCTAACATTTCTGCAGAACTTAGATGCCATACGAGGAGATAAACTGGTAGAAAACAAGTAAGGAACTTTATTAATCTTTTTAAATTTTGTAAATAATTTTTTTTATTACGATATCAAATTTATCTTTTAGATATGCCCTCTACGTAGTCAACAATTACCACTTGGAACACATCTGGCCACAGAATCACCAGGTGATCATTCAGCGCGGCATGCTCTTCTTTCACTTGAATCCCCGGTTGTGCTACGAGAAAATCCACCAGTTGCAGAGCTCCCTGAAAAGCGGAGAGAGTATTTCAGTGGCGGATGTATCGCCAAATTCGAACGGCGAACGCGTGATTTGTGGCGAGGCAGTGCGGTCCCTCAATGCCACCGTGGAGGATTTAAATTCCACCGCTGTGCGCATTATCCTGGACTACATGGACTGGGAGGGCATGGAGACCCTGATAGGATATTCGTTTTACTACAAGGAAGCCCCGCTGCAGAACGTGACTATGTACGATGGTCGGCATGGTTGCGGTCATGACAAGTGGGTGAGCACTTCCCCCAATTCGGATTTGATCTAAAGCTTGTTTTTCCCTTTTTATTCAGCTGGCTCATGGATGTTGCCCCCACCAAGAGTCGGCGGCATTTGATAACCAAACTGAAGCCCTACACACAGTATGCGTATTTCGTGAAGACCCTCACGCGAACTGATTACCATATGCAGATGGATGCCTACTCCAAAATCGGTTACTTCCAAACGCTGCCAGATAGACCCAGTCCAGTGGTTCGGATTCGTGGCAGCTCGGAGATCAGTTCCCAGATTGTGAGTATATAAATAAAAGAAGAAGGAAGCTGCAAGTTATTCTTGTTTGGTTTTGACGTTTATTTAAATGCATTGAAGCTTCTGCACTGGTGGCCACCGATTCGTCCGAATGGAGTCATTAAAAACTACTACGTGAGCTACGAAAAGTACAATGTCACCAAGGAGAAGAAGGACAAGAACTACTTGACCTCATTGGCTTCGAATGCTAAGGACTCGGATTGCGAGTGCATAGATGTGCAGCCCTACTACTCGGGTCCTCAGCCGGATGATGAGGATTACTATAACAAGGACCAAATCACCTACGACGATGCGCTGCCCAATCTTATTTATGTTTCGTAAGTAAAAGAATTTAAATAATTGTTACTTAATAATTCATATCAACTTAAATTGCTCCATTTATAGACGTAATCACGACTACCGACGAAAGGAGTTCGAAAAAGTGAGAGACTACGAGCATCTGTTGAGCATCAAGAAGCAGGAGGATCCTACCACTCCGGCTCCACCCACTCCCCCGCCCACAAATGACACCCTCGAAAAAGAGAAACTAGCCGCTAAAACATATGACGAATTCCGCCTGAAGAGCGAGGAGAGGCAGAGGGATCTGCAGGATCAGAATAAGGAGAAATACAACATCCGCCACGCCATGCCAAGATGCCAGAATTCGCATGCCTCGGTGGTGCAGCAAGTGGAGGATAAGTGCGTCGTAGAGGAGGTTCCAAATGGAGAGGCTTTGCCCGGGGATCGGCACATCCACCACCTTTCCCAGCTGGAACCGGACACCTTTTACCGGATCACAGTACGAGCCTGTGTCGAGGGCGTGGTCAACGGATGTTCCACTCCGGCGGATGCCATAATCAAGACTACAACCCTCCGGATGGAGCGATTCATAAAGGGATTTTAGTGGTCGAAGTTTCGATCAAACCGTTTTGTATTAGCTTACAAGTCATTAATTCTGAGCCTATATTACAGCAGATAGTAGTACATAGTGAGAACTTGACGATGCAGGTGGAACTACCCATTTCCGTTGAGATATAATTTTGTAAGCATTTTTTTATTCTTTTGAAATATCTGATTTGACTTTCCTTAAACACGGAACTTTTTACATTTGACAAAAAAGGATTGCTTTTCCTATTAGTTTTTAATTTTATTGTGACCTTTTATGACTCATTTATTTCTATACTTTTATTTCATTTTATTTTTGAAAAAGAATTATTATACACTTATTAATTAAAGCGGTCTTTATATTTTTGTGTTTAGGTTTTAGTTCCCATATCTCTTAATTCAATTCATTGAAATTAAAATTCCGCATTGTTTGCTCGTAATTTGAATCCAATTGTATGAGGTGTTAAGATTTATTCCCGTTGTTATGTGGGCTCTACACAATATTTTAACCTTAATACACCTAGCAATGTATTGTTAATGTGTAAATGCCGAACAAATCCTCGACAAGCGACATAATGTTTTCATCAATCCATGCTAATTTGGCTTATCAGCTCGTCGGGGTTAGCGGGATGTGTGCGTAGACCCGGAACCCGAAACCACTCGAAAACCAAATCCCGCACTGACAGCAGTGATTTTTGAGATTTTCAACTTGGTTCGGAAAGCGGTTACCTTGTTTGAAATTGGCTAAGGCTTAAGCCTAGGCCAAACTAAGAGCAGTCGGCAGCCTGAAACTGGCAGCGCATGCCACTTAATATGCAAATATGCCGCAAAAGAGCTTTAAACTTTAAAACACTGACAAAAACTAGAAGTAATCCCCCCGAAAACTGAAAGGTAAAGGGCCAAGTCGAGACGACGCTGCTTTCGAGTGGAGGAGTCAACTCGAGTACGTGTCATGTGTCGCCTTGTTTGTGGCCAACTTTTCGGCGCAGCTGGGAAAGTTCCATGAGAACGTGTCCCACTCAATGGGGGAAAGCGGTTCGTGATTGACGTAGGACCGAAGGGCCAGGGGTATAGTAAGAGGGGGAAGTGGAGGAGGAGGTGCTCATAGTGCCTGCAGAGGAAAAGGATTTCAATTCTGCCGCTGACACTGACGCGCAATTTAACTACCTTAGACGACGAGGCGAGGTCGCGAGCAAAGTACTTCAAGGGTTTACCTTTCGACTATCCCTCTTCTCCCTCTTGAAGTGCACAGAAAAAAATTCATTTATATATAAAAAATAAACAGAAAACATAAACGAATATTATAAGGTATTTAAAGTGAAGTTGAAACCCAAAACAACCAAATTTCAAATGGAAACATATATTTATCAAATATAAATCTAGCTCTTTAAAAGATGATATTTATTAATAAGTTTCCAATTAAGGCTTAATATTTCTTTCAGTGAACTAGTTACCTGCTGTCTAACCTCATTCATTTTACTGAGAATATGACAAGCTTTGAACAACTAATCTCCTATTCAATATTTGATGTAGCCCATTTAAATCAACTGGCTAGACTTAAAGCGAAATGTGAGTCAACTGAAAACCACTTATCCCGTATCCTTTAGCGTCAACCTTAGGTGCCATCCTGTTGGTCCTCGGGGAGAAAAGGGGAGACGTAGGTGGTATATGTGTGTGTGTGTTTTGGAGCTTATCCTAAACCAATTGTATTTCAATATTTCACTGTCTCCCCTTTGCCTTTACTGTTGCGCCATTTTTCGCGTTGCTTCCGTTGCCGTAGTTGCAGTTGTAGTTGCAATCGTAGTTGTAGTTGCAGTTGTAGTTGTGCTGGTAGCCGTAGTCCTTGCCGTGTAGCCTCGTTATCCTTGCACTCGTTTGTTATCTATGCACTTGCCAGGCCAAGCACTTTGGGTGCGGTTCGGCGATGTCAGTGCGTCGTCAGTTCCGCCGTCCCTCAGTCCGTCCCTTTGTCCCTTCGTCAGTCAGTCAGTCGGACAATAAAACTGAGTGCATCGAGCAGTGTTGTCTAGAGAAAGAAGAATAAGCTAAAGGATTATAGATATGGATAATAAAAATCATGCGGCACATTTATATAAAATACAACTAATTTTAATTATTTCTTTAAAGATAAAACATAAATATTTTTGTATAATTTTTTTTTTAAATTGTTTTATTGTTTTTAGATAGTCGTTCTTCACTTGAATACCAAATCACTTCACTTAAACAATGAAAAAAGTACTGATACTTTAAGGTTAAATAGAGTCTCTGTTAAATGGCCCAAAAAACGCTAGGATGGCATTTCTACCTTTCCGTGTGTGAGCACTTCAATTGTCCTTGCTCCGACTGGAGAAACGAAAGTGTCGGAATCACCTTCACCATCGACGCATTAAACTCTGCGTTTTCAGATTTAGTCCGGGCCGGTCTGTAACTCTTGGGTTAGTGCGTTCAGTCTGGGAAATGTAATGGTAATGGTGTGTAATAGTTCGGTTCGAAGGCAATGATATATAGATATATATATAGACTACACACCTTCGCCTTGTAAAGTTGGGCGAGTGTGTGCCTATGGTTGTGCCATAAATCTTTCTACCAACTAGGAGAAATCTATTTACGAAAGATAAGGTAGTTCGAGGCAAAGGTGTTAGAAAAACTGAGTTTATGTTGGATGATATTATGTAGAATATGCAATTTAATTTGTTTGGAAAAAATCAGAAATAAAAGAAAAAACTTTAAATATATTCCACTAAACTCTAGTAAGTTAAATTCGCTCTACACAAAAACGACAAACAATTGCAAAAGCATTCAATCCGAGACAGGCGAAAAGGTCAAGTCATTTTACTGTAACATATTTGAAACCTTTTGATAATCCACAACCTACTTGGACCCTCTTTCCGCCCTCGAACACAACTGTACCCCATCTTCGGGTCAGCAGTTCGTCAGCTTGGAAATGCACGACTCGCACACACAATTGTCCTTTTCAATGACCATTGCCATTGCTTTGTTATCCTGTCGTTTTGTCTGGCTTTAGTCACATTACAAATCCAATTGCCAATGCGAGATAAATGCTCTCGGATAATATGAACTGGCATGTGTGGGAAACGGTCACTTAGTCCACAAGGACATGCTCTAAGTGACAGTCGGAGAGAAAGTGCGAAGCGTGGGGAGAAAGGGAGGGTGGCAGGGGGATTGGATGCAGCTGATTTTAATTTTAGTTAAATCAAAATGTGCTGAGGCAGGAGCCAAGTTTATTGGCCAGGAGCAGTGCGAGCACTCAAAGGACTTCCGTCCGACACGTTCTCATTTCGTTGGATCCTATGCGTTTGCGCGTCCTTTTCTCTCTTTCACTGTAAAAAATTGATAAAGTTAAGAAATAATTAAATATTTTTGTAATCATGAAATTTTAGAAAGCTTTATTAAAGTATTATTATTTTCATTCAAAACAAAAATGAGCTTTTATTTAGCAGTGTATTTCTATCTATAGAAGGAAAAAGGCAAAGAGGCTCAGGCTTTGCGTGGCTTTTTGGCCAGAAGGTCTGACATGTGCTTGGTCTGCTTGGGTTTCATAAATAATGCAAAGCGCTGAAAATAGTTTATACCCGGACCCAAAAAGTTTTCCATGGGCAGTGTTCTATTAAAAGTCAAGCATGAAACCAATCAGATAGTTAGTTTTTCACTTAATTGTTCTTGGAATTATTTAGTCCCAGGAAGGATTTGTCAATTGGTTGTGAATAATTTACCACACCGTTGACTTCACGACCCGAGTTGGCTAGTGTGTGTGACATAAGTGAAATCAATTTGTCGATTTTTTTCGGGTCATTATTTACTATTTTCTGTGGATAGGCATGCAATATACCACAGGTCCTTTCGCCATTCCCCTCCATCTAACAATGAACAGTCATTGCTCCAGTTAGTGCGCTAAACGATTTCGTGGAATGGGTCATGACAAGTGGAAAATTATGAGTGGGAAATCGCAGGCCCACTGCCCTAATTGATTGGATGGATTTTCTCTTGACAAGGAACGGATCGAGTGAAGGTACGTCTAGACCTATTGAATAATTTACTTCATATCTTATTAATGCAATTTGATAAATGCTTATTAAAGGGGGAGGCTAAAAATGTGATTTATGTATGTATTTAAGCCTGAAACACATTTTTATTTTGTTTGATTATTTAAAAATACTGAGAGATATAACTTCATTTTCCCTTCCCAACATTGACATAATTCAAAGAGTTCAGTCGAAGATCTTGAGAACTATCACCGGGGCACCGTGGTACGTTCGCAACGAAAACATACACCGCGACTTAAACATCCTACCAGTCAAAGAAGTGATCGCTGAACAGAAGGCAAAGTACTTAACCAAGCTATCGGTGCACCCTAACCACCTGGCGAGAGGTCTAACAAGGTTGAGCAACCAATCACGTCTTCGTCGCAACGACTTACCCACCCAGCGAACGACCTGAGGGACGCGCAACCAGAATGCAGTCTTAGTATACTGTTAGTTAAATTTTAATGTTAAGATTCGCCAACTTATTGTTAGTCTCAAAATTAAGAGTAGATTCAATAAATAAAAGCAAAGCTAAAAAAAAAAAAAAAAAAAAAATTTTCCCTTTAACTAGCATACCAAACCTGTCAGTCATATTTTTTCCTCTTTTTCAACAGAAATACCCGCAACGCATATTGTTTTTTCTTTTTTTTTCATTTTCAAATTAGCGAGGAAGGGAAAACCATTGCAAAAACTTTGCTTTGTCTACCACGCGTTCAATATTGAAAATTACACCTTAATTAAGTGCTATGAACGCATTGAAAATGTCAATAAACCGCTTAGACCAAAAACCAATATCCTTTCGCACTTGTCGCAGTTTTCCACCCGCCTCCTCCCCAACTCCCTTTTTCCACCTGTGTTTGTGTTTGTCTGCAAATTTGAACAAAAAGCAATTCAATTGTTGCTGCGGCGCCATATTTGTCAGTCATTTGCGAAGGTTTCTATCCCGCCCACTCGCACAGCCCCTCCCACTCACCCTTCCGCCCACTTGGGTGGCTTTTTGTTCCATTTCCGTTATGGCAGGACGCATTCATTTTGGCGTCATCAAGGTTGCATGATGCGATGGCAAAACGTGTCATCGGCACAACGATTCGTTCCGCCTGACAGTTGACAACTCCATCAAAAAGGTAAACTGATGGCCCAAAAGGGGGTTTTGGGTGGATTTGAGGGGGGAGGCAGAACAGAGGATCCTCCATTGAAGCTTCTCTATAAAATGTCATTTAATGCAGCTGTACGTGTCGCAGGCAGTACAGTACATTTTTTTTAGGAATATACCGATATCGATAAGCTAATGACGCGTAAAGAGTTTGCAGATTTGAATCATTTGCTATTTTTTTGCTCAAATGTATCAGTTGTTGTTGGAATTTATTGGGCTTGCATCAGTTTA